TATTATTTTACTTTATTGTTCCTTCATGTGTGACTTCAAATATGTGTAATATGTCATGTATAACGTCACAAGTAAAATCTCAATTATAAAATAAAGTATTAATAGCTTTAGCATTTAAAAAAAAATATTCTCATTTCAAAATTATTTCATTCATGGTTTAGTAGAATTTTAAAAACCAAATTCAACTACATTCCATAAATCATAATATATAAAAATTAAAAAATTCTCATTCTAGCTTTTCAATAAGTGTAGTCTGTTTTATTGATCATAGGAGGACATGTAATAAAATGACCCGTTTGTTTGTCAAAAAATATTATTAATTATCTATTAGGTATTAATCTAAATAGGAAAACCTTGTTCCATTACCAATTGTTAGGATCTTAATGATACTTTGAGGGGGGTAAATTAGTGAATTATAAATTTTTATCAACTTTAAAATTCAATCAAGAAAAACATGTATAGAAAATATGATTAACCAAATATTGAGTTTTGAGTAAGGGTTATGAATAAAGTAAATGATAATAAAAGAGAAATCACAAACAAAATTTATAAGCAAGAGAAGAAATACAAACCAATTTATAGTAGTTCTTTCTTCTTGACATACATCTACTTCCAATTCCTCTTCTCTCAAGGTTATCAGCTTTCGTTATCGATTTTGCTTCGAATGAGTAAAGATCAATAATCCTTTATAGTCTTTCTCCTTTTTAAGCTTAGCATAGAACATTAACACTCACTTTTTTTATAAGAGACCTCTCACCTCTCTCACTTAGTATCATAACTAAACTCAAAAACAAAGATTAAAACAATACTCAAAGTAAGAGCTACAATACTTATAAACTCAAGAATGGATGATCCATCAAGAAAGCCTGAGCAAGATATTTATAGCCTACAAAAGACTTCAAATATTGAGTTCAAATTTATATTCCTGACATTTTGGGATACGAGCAGTATTACTATTGACTTTGGATAGTAATACCATTATAATCTTTAAAACATAGGCACGATATTGGACTCTTATGATATTTCCAATATAATTTTTGACACAGAGCAGCAATACTAGACTCCTGTGGTACTACAATCATAATTTTTTACAAGAAGTCACAATACTAGACTTTGTTGATACTACAATCATAATTTTTGATACGACATTGTAAACTTGACTTTAGTGGCACTACCACTATCATAAGTAGTACCCTTGATGACTTAGGTAGTTATGTCATGTGTTTGGTCTTCTAATAACCCAAATTCAATCCAATATTAAGCCAATTGGCTTTTATAATAAATGAGCTTTATTTCAGCCTAATACTAACTCAAATTAGTTTAAAGTTACGTCAACCAAGACCTTGACTCATCAACCACTAATCTTGTATATCTTTGAAGCTTTTGACATATTGTCTACTCTTCCGACATATCGTCTAATTTTTCAATATTTTGTTTGAACCTCTAACACATCATCCTATCATTCAACATATTAACTTTGTCATAACATTCGATCTTTTGACGTGATATCAGATCTTCCAAACATGATGTCCAAACCTCTATGAAGTTTATTTTTCGGCACGTCAATCAATTCTTCGATTGGACATCTAATTTTTTAGTACAATAATCTTCTAATATAATGTTCGACTCTCCTACTTCACATTTAGCCTTTCGATAGTCTGAATCTATGATCGAAGTATTTTTTATATCACTTATCTTAAAAGAATATTTATTTATCAAACTTATCAATTGATTTCATTATTAAAATCTAAATTTCAATAATTATTTTGTTAGATAAATAGAAGGACATAAAAGATACATAATACAAACATTTTAGAGATGAAGGATACATGATACATGTGTTTTTTACCTTTGAAAAGCTTTATACCTAGACCAAGTTCCAAATCGTTTAACTATTTTTCTATTCTAGGCATGATAATACTTAAAAAATAGGTAGGCCAAGTCAATTTTATCAAGTTGGATTAATGACAAAAATTGACTTTATCATAGTGGCATTTTAAGGAGGGCCTTACAAGATAATATTATAGAAAAATAAGATATAATATATCCACGAGAGAATACTAGAATAGATTACTCCTTTCCCTTCATTTTAAGCCAAATCCAAATTAACCATGATATTGCATTAGTTTAACCAAGTAATAGATTGATCCAAAATTAATAATAGTTAGTAATATAAAATAATATTAATATATTTTTAATTATATTACAAAATTTTAAAATAATTGTAAAATTAGTCCGAAAATTAAAAATATAGTATTATAAAAATAAAACAAAAATCACATTAATGAATATTAGGAAAAGTAAATATAATAATATTATTTTATATATTTTAGATGAATAACAATAAAGCCATTAAAAACCAATGAATGATAAATATTAATGTTAAAAGTTTTTAAGCCTTCATGAGACGTTAGAAATAACTTATAAAAGTCTAAATGATCATTGATCCTATTTTTAAACTTTAATATAAGTATTTTCTATTTATTTGAGCTCTTAAAAGCATGAAATTATATCATTTTATTAAATTTTACATAATTTAAGTTGTATTTACAACCTTTGAGATAAAAATCATTTGAATATTATTATAAAAGTTCTTCTAAACTTTTGAGGACATAAGAAAAATTTTTGAAACTTGAGTCCCACTGTTTCCTAGTGGGGTTATACTATTTTTGGGTCTTATTTTAAAAAAATATAACCCATTCAGAAATAGTGTATCTCATATTTTATTTTTTAAATTAATAAATTTTCAGCTTATAAAAGCCTAAATGATGATTTTATATCATTTATAGGCAATTAAAATAGTATTTTTATTTATTTTAGCCCTTAAGGCTTGAAATTGTGTCATTTTAATTTTACCTAATTTAAGGTGAATTTACAACCCCTTTGAAACAAAATCACTTGAATATTATTGTCGAAGGTCTCACACGAAAAATGGGAATACAGGAGATATACTATTTTTTATTAGGATTATATTATTTTTGGGTTTTTATTAAAAAAATATAAGCTCATTAAAAAAAGGATAATTCTTCACTTTTTCCAAAAAAATTAAATTTTTAGAAAATATTAGAAATAGGTCTCGTTGACCAATTTTCTATTTTTAATCCTCCAAAATTAATATTTATTTATTTTATCTCTTATAGCATGAAATTATGTTATTTTTTCAATTTTACTATGAATTTGACCATTGGTATAAAAACCACTTGAATGTTATTATAAAATGTCTTCTAAAGTGTTTAGGATACAACAATTGTTTGGGATACCTAAGTTAACTGTTTCGAAGCGGTTAACTTTCTTTGAGGTCCTCTTAAAAAACGATGTAATCACATCCTACTTTTTCCAAAAATACTCAAATTTTAAGAAATCCTGCATATAACTTGAAAGGCCTAAGTGATCATTTTTTCTGTTTTTAATACCTTAAAATTTATGTTTTATTTTTGTTTCAACCTTTTAAAAAATGAAATTATGTCATCTTTTAAAGTTTACCAATTTCAAGATAAATTAAACATCCCTTTGGGATAAGAATAAGTTGAATATTATTATAGTAGGCTTTATTTGAAGGACACAAAATGTTTTTTCAAGGCTTGAGTTATATTATTTTTATTCTATTTTTGGGGTCCTATTCAAAAATAATGTAACTCATATTTTATTTTTTTCAAAAACTATCAAATTTCGAGGAAACCATACAACAAAGTTACAAAATGCCTAAATGACAATTTTTTATATTTTAAAATAGTTATTTTATATTTATTTCAGTCAATTTTTTAAAGTTTTAAGTACACAAAAAAATTTTAGATAGCCTAAGTTTGACTATTTTTGAATGATCCATACTATTTTTAGATCTTCTTCGAAATAGTGTAACTCATATTTAGCTTTTTCTAAAAATTTTAAAATTCCTATAAATATTGAAAATAACTTACAAACCATGAAAATGGATATTTATTTATTTCAACCTTTAAACATATGAAATTATATCATTCTTTTAAAATTTATCTAATTTAGGTGAATTTACCGCCCCTTTGCCATAAAATTCATTCAAATATTATTATAATATTTTTTTTCAAATTTTTAAGGACACATAAAGATTGTGGAAGACCTGGGTACATTGTTATTGAATGAAGTTGCATTATTTTTGGGTCTTATCAAAAAAATGGTGTAACTCATTTTTTTTTACTTTTTAAAAAATTCTTAAATTATCTGAATACCTTTCAAATAAATTACAAAGGCATAAATAACCATTTTTCTATTTTTAAACCTTCCTAATAGATAATTTTTATTTATTTAAATCCTTTTAAAATATAATTTTTTATTTTTCCTTATTTAAGGTAAATTTACCATCTCTTCGAGACAAAAACCAATTGAATATTATTATAGAAGGTTTTCTTAAAGTTTTAATGACACAAATTTTTTTAGAAAAGTTGAGTTACATTTTTTTGAAAGTTGTTAAATATGGGAAAGAGGAAGGGATATCAGAAAATCATAAAAGAATTATTGAGGATATTTTTATTATTTTAAAAATTAGGCGATATACACGAAAGAAAAGAAAAAGTAAAGCAAGAGGTTTTTTAAGAAATTTACCCATAGAAAATTAATCACTCAAATTTAAATAAAAAATATTCAAATTGGATTCGAGTCCAGATTTGGATTCTTGCTCCTCCTACAAACCTCTAAATCTTATGGGTGCAATCCAAGAAGGAAATGTGGCCCTTGCAGGTTTCCAAATCCACGAAAGGAGGACATCCCGCCCACCCACACCCTTCGGTCTATGAAAGGGGTCACTACGAAATCCTCTGTTGCTCACTACGAAACCCCTCGCTTGTTCTCCTGCTCTTCCTCGCCTTCTTGATTTTGATATCGCCTATCAATCCCCAGAGTCCATATCCATCAGGTATCCATTTCTATCCCACCTCAATCCTGCTCGTCTTTGCCTTCTCGACTTTTGCATCACTTGTCGATCCCTACAGTCCATCTCCATTGGTTATCCGTTGCTATCTCGTACTGAGATGACGAACCAAGAACTTTCTGCCGAAGTGGTAAAAGATCTCTCTTTGTTCTTCGTTGTTCTATTTTCGATTGGAGCAGATAGTTGTGTGTTCCGTGGCTAATGATATGGGATCTTTGTGTTTAGGTCGGGAATGCGTTTATTGATCAATATTGTTTTATTCTTCGGCATCATCCTGAGATGATTCACCAGTTCTACAAAGAAAGCAGTAAGCTCGGTCGTCCTGATGATCACGGCAATGTGACATCGGTCACCACCATCGCTGTGAGTACTCCAGGTCCTATTCTTAAGGGGGGTATTGGAAAACAAAACCTTTTTCTTGAAATCCTTAACTTGTTTTTGCCGAATTGATGGGAAATAGACAATCAATGAGATGTTACTGGCCACCAGCTTGGGCGTACCAGAGATAACGAAGGTGAACAGCCAGGAGTCTCACCATGGTGGGGTGTTGGTCCACGTAACAGGGCGTCTCACCAAGGAGGACAACGTCAAGAGGGACTTCTCCCAGTCCTTCTTCCTTGCTCCCCAGGAAACGGGCTATTTTGTGCTGAATGACATCCTGCAGTATGTGGATGAGATCGACGAACACCAGGGTTCTGGAGAGATCGATGAACAGCAGCGACACCAGGGCTCTGCGAATGGTATTATTCACTTCTTGTTCTCGTTGTCTCTCGAGAGTTCATAGTTCGTTTTGTTGGCTTATCTGGTCGTAATTGGTCTGTAGAACAAGAAGAAACAGTGTCAGTGCCCATTGATGTAGTGGTTGCTCCAGCAAAAGAAATCTGTGATTCTGTGAGCAATGACGAGAGCTCCGCTGTGCAAGAGAAAGAACCGGGCAATGAGGTCTGTGATTCTGTGAACGATGGCGAGAGCTCGACTGTGCAAGAACAGGAACCGGGCAAAGAGGTCTGTGACTCTGTGAGCAATGGCGAGAGCTCGACTGTGCAAGGGAAGGAACCG